AGGAGAACCGAGTTTCAGGTTCCGATATATGACCGAAGATTCAAACGATGAGGCCATGAGCATAATCCTAGAATTATTGGATGAGATATGCGAGGCCGCCCAGAAACAACAGATCGAAAGGTATTTCAACCAGAGAGCCAACCTCCGACACTTCAATATTAGGGACTTAGTGTTAAGAAAGGTGACACTAAACACCCGGAACCCGAACGAGGGGAAGTTAGGACCGAATTGGGAAGGTCCATATCAGATTATCGAGATTACCGGCAAAGGATCATACAAACTCGAAGCAGGAACGGTGAGCGACTATCGAACAACTGGACCGTAACCTACATAAAACGATATTATTGCTAAGGTATGACCCCATCCTTTCTTTTCTTTACATATATATTACAAATTGGACTAACACTGGTAGGAAACAGTCAAAGAATAATGCAGCTATTAGGCCCGAAAGCACACATTGCACTCTTTTTTCCTTGAATCGATTTTGTATCAAATGGGTTTTCTGACAAGGTTTTTAACGAGGCAACAGTAGATCGTGCTAACTTAGAATTGAAGACCGGTTGGGAACCGGAGTCTAGGGTCGCATCAACAGTATCTGAGCCCTCTCAATGATCGACCTCGAATACTGGGGGTCATTGCCCTCGGATAATGATTTTATGATTTTAGCAAGCAAGGAAACTTTGTGCTTCAATAGTCTGGGCTCGGTGGATAGGATTTATTGTAAGGGCCAAACGGTCAAATGAACTGTGCACACATAGACCACTTGTATGTTGCGCACAGAAATAAAAGAAAGTTTCTACCTTGTATATACATGTTTTGTCCCTTAAGACTATTAAATTTTGTTCGTTACAGATGGATTGGATATTGAGCCTATGCGTTGGCTCTATCTGGATCCAAGAAATCACCGCCACTCGGAACTATCATCCTAGGCAAGCCCGGACAGCTCAAGTATTGAAGCCCAGGGGTACAAAGCCTATTAGGAAATAACCGAACTTAAAAGGCTATGATCATCCTAGAAATGACCCGGAGACGTCCGAAACCCGTAATCAAAATATAAGGCCTTCAAAAATTCCAAACCGGTTCAAAGGCTAACATCGGCAAAACTATAATCTAAGAACATTTAAATACGCACTTCTGGGAAGGATTCCGGTCATACGAAGCCCCCCATAAGTTTCAAACAAAATTACATCGAGAACGAGCCATGTTCGAACCTCCGAACAAGACCCTATTACTACGCTTTATTTCGTGCTAAGGCATTGGAAATATTTGCAATTATAAAGAGGAAACCGAAGAAACTAACTTAAAAATTGCCAAAGGAAATCCATATATATATATATATTCCAATAAAGATCTTTACAAAGGCCAAACGGCCCCAACAAAATGAACAAAAATGTAAAAACAAAAGAAACATCTCTAAGGCACCTGAGCCTAATCTCCACCGGAACCAGCCTCGTCACTGGAGTCCTTAGAGCCTTCCTCATCCTCGGGGTTAGCCAACTTCTTGGCCTCGACCTCGAGCCTTTTGGCATCTTTGATCTCGACCGACAGATCAAAACCCCGGGCATGGACCTCCTCGAAAGCCTCTCTTCGGGACTAGCACTTCACATATTCAACAGTGACTTTCAAGCGGTCCTGGGCCGCCTTAACATCAACTCGGTTCTGAGCCACCATCTCTTCAGCATCGACCCTGGTTGTTTCCGTCACTGACTTGGCTATTTCCAGCTCCTTGCCAAAGGCATCCCATTTAGCGATAATCGATCCCAGTTGAGACTGGAGGTCTTCAATTTTTAGGGCCCGGGCCTTAGTTTTCTAATTTGATACCCAAACTTTGACCTCCACCGAGGCCAGCTGCTCTCGGGCAGTCTCCTTCTACGAAGCCAGTCGGTCCATTTTTCCCTTTTACTCTTTGGCAATGGCCTTGAACTCGTCCATCTCCACTCGAAGTTGATCGATCATGTCAACCTACTGTTTAACTTACGGGTTTTGACCATTAGTCGTCATGTCTAACTCGTCATCGCTAACTTCAAAGATCTTTACCTGTTCCACCAGGTCGGCATGTTCCTTCCGAGCCGCGTCGAATGTAGCTCACTGAGAAGCCTTGAACTGGTTAACCTCAGCCCGGTATCGGAGAAAGACTTCATGATGGAGTACCGAGGCCTACAAAAATATGAAAAGGAAAAGGCATGAGAGCTATCAAAAATTAAATTCAAAGACAAAAGAGTGTAATGATGCCTTACCCGGTTCAGCGCCTTTTGTGCTTCGTTGAACAAACACAGCACATCTACCTCTTTTATTTTTTCCTGGTCTTCCTTAGTTACCAGGCACCGGAGGTAGCTAGCCACTCCGACAGGGGCGAAAAGGAACTGGGTATCCTCCGGGACAGTGATGCTAACTGACCGCTTCCGACCAGGATCCGTGCTCGGGGCGGGGAACCGGTTGATTAACTTTGGCTCGAGTTCGGCCCATCGACCTCCGAGGATGAGCTTTTCCTCGGCACATCTAAATCACCCAACCCAGAGAAGTCTTCTAGAGCGATTGAGTGCACACCATAAAAAAAACGGAGGGGATCGTCCGCGCCATGATCCCCTTTGTTGGATCGCTCCTTCGTCACTCGGGCTTCATCGAACATGGTTTCATTTTGCTTAAGTATCGAAAGTTGGAGAAGTGAAATTCACTTAGTCACCATTTAATTATATACACCGACAATATAAATAAATTTATACGATCAATTAAATTTGATATTTATATCATGCTATATATTTTATTTTTCGAGCAACTCCTTCAACTTATTGTTATTACATTGACGCTTTAAAGTTTTACTACAGTAGTAGTGTATAAAAGTTAAACTTGGTTTCACCCTTTGTTCACACTCCAATTTGAAAAACTATTAACCAGGATTATCCAATTTCAAATTAAGAAGAAACTAATCCTTGTTTGATTCATTAATCAATCTTGAATTTCTGTGAACGGTACAAATTCCGTGACCAAACTGGACCATCATCTAAACTCCAACTAACACACGGAATAATATCAAGCTTTATGCTTTAGATTTTGTATTTTCTACGATAAAGATCCTAGAGAAACAGAGCACATAAAAGATATTTTACCACAATATCTCTCACAACGTGCATGTCCAGCAGTGGCTATAAAAATGATAAGAAATGTGCGCTCAATAGTCGTTCCATGCTCTGCTTATATATATGTACACCTTCTCATACGTAAAACATCATATCCTACAAAAGAGTAAAACAGAGAGGGGGAAAAAAGATCTTGAGAATGGCAACAATTGCTGGTGTTAGTCTCACTACTCCAAGAGTTTTGGCCAAGGCATCCAACTCCTCCAAAGTTGAGCCGTTTAAGTTCCCATGCCTTAACAATCCATGGAAGAAATCAGCTCAATTTGGGTCCCGTAGGATGTACCTTAAGCCAGTGTCAGCAGCACCAGATAAGCTTTCTGACCTTGTGGCTGACAGTGTCAAGGGCGCAGAGGAAGCATGCTCAGAGAATCCAGCTAGCGGAGAATGTGCGGCGGCTTGGGATGTAGTGGAAGAGACAAGTGCAGCAGCTAGCCATGCACGGGACAAGCAGAAGCAGAACTCTGACCCTTTGGAAGGTTATTGCAAGGAAAATCCTGAGACTGATGAGTGCCGTGTATATGACAATTGATTATAGTTGTTTGTGTTTCCAAGCAAACTTCTGCTTCTTAACCACATACTTCTATTTTATGCCATGTAATTTAGTCCTTTAAATTTTGGATGCTCTAAAATAGGCTACTCATATCATATGTATGATGAAAGAAATTGTCCTATTTAGCTTAGTATATATACAATACAAACCTATTGAATGTTGTGTTTAAGGATGGTTATGCTATATGAATTTATGGTATAACAAGAAATTAATTAGTAGTTATCTATATTTCTTGAAAGTCCTTGTCTGCTACTTTACTCGATCTTGTCGCTATATTACTAGTAGTATCATTTATATATTTTTAGTGTGAGCTGGAATCCTTGTCTGTTTATACTTTATACCTAGCTCTCAGAAAGTCTGAAAAGATAATTTTAGAGACACTTTTTTATTATAAAGAATACATAGAGACTTAAATCAGAAGTAACATAATTGAGACTGATAATAGAGGACGGGCGAAGCTCCATTATCCCAAGGTAGTCAAGCGAACACCCTTACTCGAAAAATTACGTTATATATAAATAAAATTTTAAATTTTAAAGATATATAACATATATTGAACACCTTTTATAAAAAAAATTTATCCACTTCAAGATTCTCGGCTTCGCAGGCTAATTGAAGACCAAAGAAAGTGAAACTGACGCAGCTTATGCTTATAAATCAGAAGTCATTATTCAATACTCTGTTCTCATGCTCTAAATCTCTTGGTGCAGGACATCACATTTCCAACTCTCAACCAACTTCCCCTAAACTAAGAATCATTTGCATAGTCACTATGTAGCCATAAGTCAATTGTCGATTTATCTTTTGACATGGTAAAGATTGCCTTTCGAATAAAGACTAACAATATATAATAATTTATTTTTTAGGAATCGCCACACCGCACTGTCACTGACCAAATATTATAAGCCTATAAATTGGCCTCAGCGCTAGAAATATAATGAAATGGCTAACCTACCCGAGTGACGTAAATAACCTTTTACGAGAAGCACCTAAAAATGGAATTACACATCATTCTCCACAATTTAACAAGCCATTCAGCTATAGATGCGCAACTTTTGTCGACAAAATAGGCAGAAAATCCTCAGCCGGTATTATGATGTTTGATTTTGGAGTAAGTTCCATGTTCCATTCTTGAACGCGTATTCTAAGAATAAGCAGAAAAAGAATTGTTTGTGAAAAGCCTTGCCCTGTATCACCAACCTCCATATGATCCAAACAATCAACACTGCCACCAACAGTGTGACAAACAGAACCACGATTACCCACAACCTTGCAGAATGAAAATTGCAATGTCGCAAAAACAATGGCCATGCTCGTTCACATAAAAGATTTATTTATAAAACTGGAGAGCAAAGATCATTGACACAGCGCTAGAAACTGCGAACACACCAGAGCTAAACATTTGGAGCACCAACAACACCCAAACTAACACCAAGCTAATACAAACAGAAACTACCGACCGACAATAAACAAAAAACAGTGACCGACTGCAAAAAGGATAATGTAAGCAACCCCTAACAAAGTCCACTTCCACTAAGGATCGCATATTCCAATCCAAGAGCAACACCTGATTAAACAAGAATTCAAGCTAAGAGCAGAGTAGTTCAGAACTGCAGAGCAGTAGCTCAAAACTGAAACATATTAGCAGAAGCAGTGATGGGTTGAATTGGGCAAGGAAGCTGCCACGGCTCAAGCAAAGTGTCTGGAATTTCAGGGATATCCACAGCTAGTCCATTAGCATCAGCCCAGAAACGAGCGAGCGAATTGAGCGAATCCAAGCGTTCAGTCAGTTCTGCCATTTGAGCCCTCAGGACATTGTTCTCCGCATCAAGGGTCAGGTAGTTTCTTCCCACAGCATCAATCTTCTCACGCCACAGAACGTTCTGATTCTGTAGCTGTGTCATTTGGCTCATCAACTCTTCCAAATGCTGCTGCTTCCTCATCCGTGACCGCCTTGCAGATTCACGGTTGGACTCCATTCTCTTTCGTTTTCTATCGTCGTTCATAGCATATCGTTGGCCATCAGAACCTGAACTAGCTGGTTGCTGTATCGAAGCCATGTCTAGTGTATCGTTGACAACTATTGGAATTCAAAGAGTGGGG